TTCATTAGTTAAGCAGAATCAATGCTAAAATTAATGCAGAGCCTTGGGCTACATGGTCTAGTGTGAGATGTCCCTGTCCACGGCAGGGGGTTGGAACTGGATGACCTTAAGGTCCTTTCCAATCCAAACCATTCTATGATTCTAGCATTATGTTTAAGTCAAGGCTACATCCTTTTCTGAAGCACATTTCAATCAAATGCTGCTTACCCTGGTAAATGAATTAATTTCTGTTTCTTATCTTACGGAACATTAAACCATTAAAAGCCCTCTGACCTTTATAAATCTGTTAAAAGAAACATGAATGTCTTAGAGTCACTGTTCAATCTTTATATTTCAATGGCATTGGAGTGTAACTATGATCAGAAATATGTCTATTGAAAAACACAGTTTTTTATATAATTATGTTTTCATATATTCTGTATAGTATTGGTAATTTTTCTTCGTTCGCTCTGATAGATAGCTTATGATCATGTGTACTAGAGTTGGCTAATGAAGCTGATATATTTAAAGCAAAGACAAAAATGCTATATGGGATGTGTTTGATGGTTTTTTACTCAGACATATTCTATAATCTTGAGTTGGCAACACATTTTCTAGTCATAGGAGGGTGGCTGAGAGCTGTCTTAACTTCCCAAGGCAGCCAACCAACAAGCAAACAGAAATTTCCATTGTACTTCCATCACTAGAATGAGTTTCACATTCTGTCGTGGATCTTGTGTTGGCTGTGTGGGATTATCAGGCTCAAGGCACATAGTGGTCTGGATGCCAAGGAAGCAGAGTACATAATCACACTTGTTTAGTATAGAAAGCAGCAGGCATTGCAAGTACCCATCAGGACAATAAGAAGTGCTCTGTTCCTAATGCTGCCTTGTCAGTGTAATCTCATTTATAATGAAAAGTGCATTCTACTGATGTTCTCCTGTTATCACCAGCTTCTTTCCTTTTCTTTTTACTCCGATCTTGCTTTCAAACATGAAAAACTCTAAACAATTACTGCTTTATTTCCTCAGTTACTAATCTGAATTTACATCTTTTAGAGGACAAAAAATATACTTCTTTTTTTATCTCAGCAACCCCATCCATTACATATAGTGATTCATGGTTGCTTTTTCTGGCAGGATGTAAACTCCTCTCAAATCACAATCTTCCTCTGGTTGTCCACACTACAATATATTCATTCTTTCCCTCTATCATGTATATTTTTTGCAGCTAAATGTTAACAGTCAGTTGTTAGGGACGAGTACTGGAGAAAATACTCCATGCAGTTAAAAGAGGCTGAAGAAACACGGTTTGTATCCCAAACCTTATTGTTAGTATCAAGTGTTAGTAATCCAAACCAATAGTTCAGGGACAACACTAACTCATTTAGTCCAAATTATTCGACTATTACAGCTCATTCCCAAGAATGCAACAGTGGACAAGAAGAAAGGAAATATTTCTGCTATCTACTCCTTTTTTGGTGTTATCCTAATCCTTCCAATGCATGTGTGGATCCTAAGCCTAATGCTGGAGTAGTGTTATAGTGAGATACCAAGAGTTTCCAGCTCTTCCCTGCAAGGAATATGAAGCTAAAATTGGTGTCTTCCTCCTGCATTTGCTTCATCAATGTTGTTTAAATTGCACTGGGGACAGCCTGCATCTTGTAAATCTTCACACTGTAATTCCCATACACCCTGCATCTTAAGCTTTTCTTAGGCTGGGCAAAAGCCAAGAACTGATTCTTCTTTTAGACTTTGCTATTTTAAACTGATTTTCAGTATTTGCTGATTTTCTTTTAACATATCCTATTTTCTGTGGGTTCCTCCCTCCATTATTCTAACTCATTCTCCCCTGCTCAAGAAGGTAAAATAAAGACTGCCATCCTTTCAGTCCATCTCCTCCATTTCTCTGTATTACTAGTTTGGTCCCCAGATGTCCAGGGACTTCGTGATCCCTCACCCACCGGGTCACTCAGGTATTTTAAAGTATGCTACAGGCAAATCATGGTAGTGACATAAAGAGCTTTAGTACATTTTCATTGTCTTTTGGTGATCCCAGGTCATCTATGATGCTAAGAATGAACTGCAGCTTAGATCAGAAGACTGAATCAAAAAGCATCTCATATCTCCCCTTGGATTTTCAGTGATCCTTAATAGCTTAGGAAGCTGGGTCACAGCTGGATTGGTAGTAAGGAGAAATAGAGGTGGAAGAAGTGGAGGTAAAGCAAGGAGAACACTGAAAAGAAGAAATGCCATTGGAAAAGCAAAGGTTGACTCTGTTTATTCCAAGAGTGGCAGCTGAAGGCAGGGTGCTAGTGAGTGTATAATGGCAGCTGGGTTTCCCTTGCTGTCTTTATTACAATGATCTCATTCTTTGTAATAAAGTCATTCTCACTGGGCCTCTGTGAAACCCTGTGACACCCTGAACATGACAAGTACAGGAGAACCAACCAGTGCTGTCAACTGGAAGCCTGGAGCAGGACACAAAAACCTTCACTGCTTAGAGCTGGATGATTCAAGTAGGCTCCATGACATATTGGGCTGAATCACCTACTGAGGTGAAAAGAAACAGAGCCACAGATTTGATGTCAGAAGAAGCTTTGAAGATAATTCCAAGGGTTATTGTATAATTTAAGGGAAGATCTGTTAATAAGGTGTTAACAGCCCTTCTAGCTTCTGGTCCTGCTGAAATCAGAGGAGGTATATGAGGAGAGCAAGGCAGCAGCTTGCTCTTGTTTGTACTTGTTTGGAACAAGACTTGCAGACAAAACTCAGTGGTGCTTTTGGCTATTGTTAAGATCCCTCAAAGCAAGTTTCCAAAGGTTTAACTTGTTTAGGAAGATAGAGTTTGGTGGTTTTCAATGTGGTGTATAAGAAAAAGAAAACTGACCAGTGCCCCCTGTATTCATGATGAAAAGTCAAAATGAAAATATCCATTAGATTTAGGACAATGATTTCTTGTGTGTGATAGATAACAAAAAAATGCTAGAAAATGAAATTATTACTACACCATTCTGAATATAATGTTTGAATTTTAAATGATGCTAAATATTAATGTTTTCCATAGCGGTGTTTGTGAGATAGTCAGCAGTCAACAAACAAAGCAACTTCATTTTTGCTGAGATGGGGAGAGAACCTTTTCTTTCATGGAGGACAGTGCAAGTGTGTAGAAGCAGGGAAGCCTCACTGGATTCATTAACTGTGCCATTGCCGAAGGGAGGGAAATATAAGATGTTTTGCAGGCATAGAATTCCAAGCTAGAAAGAGGTGATGTAGCGATCAGGTGATGTTCAGAGCAAGAAGGGATGCAGTGTGGTGGTTCTTTGTTTCTATGGTTACATTCAACTGGAATTGCTCTAACTAGGTCAGATCGGAAGGTGTGAATGAAAACAAAGACATTTGGAATCAGTAATGAGAGTTCAGGGAGAAGGCTGTGGCTACTAGGGAAAGCAAGAAGGGAGCAGAATGTTTAGGGAGGCTCTTTAATGTACATTTGTAATATATAGGGATGAAGTTCCACAAGAATGGATCTATTTTATCTTCATTCACTCTTCTAGGATTATTCAGTAGTCTGTTGTATGAAGAATCATCTGCAAGTGTATTATGTGATATACCTGTGGTGACACCTTTCCCCCCTTTGGCTGCAAATGAAGCTGCTGTAGGAACAGAAGCAACCTGGCAGCTGAAAGGGAGAGGTAGGTCAGCTGGAAGAGTGTGTGTGTGGGGGGATTTGCTGGAAAGAGGAAATGAAACCAAGGGCAGGGAACATAAAGCATCCTCAGCCCACAAGTAAGGAGAAACAGGTTGTGGAAGTGGTCTAAAAAGCAAATTCAGCATGAATTGTGATGCAGAGTCTATGCATTGTTCCTCTGTTGCTGGCTTCGCTCCTTGGCTTTTCTCCTTGCCCCAGATCCTATATTGGGTTCATGATAGAATTTTCAGGCTGTGTCTTCACCTGCCATGTAACACTGACCACCAAGCCTCTCTCCTTTCCAACAGTGAAGTCATCAAGGACCAGCCACTTGATATTTTGGTCCCTTTTCCACATTTCTTGCCTTCTTATTTCTTATATTAAACTGCTTGATGTTCTTGTCAGCCTGCTCATCTTTCTTACCCTCCAGCGCTCCCCCGCCCCTGTTTGATACAATCAGTAAATGTATATAAAGGTGCATTTATCCCATTTCCTTGGTTGGAAGTGAAGGCATTGCAACAGCCTTGGCATCAGCATAGACACCCTTAGGAATGCATCTTGTAATGGGCTACTTTTTGAGGAAGGGAAGATGATGAGGTCTATAGGGTGCCCTCAGATTGGCTCAAATCATTCCCTCCAGTGCCTACAGCTGGATCAATGCTGTATTACAGCCTGTAACTATAGAATTATAGCATGGCTTGGGTTGGAAAGGACTTAAGATCACCCAATTACAACCCCCCTGCCGTGGGCAGGGACACCTTCCACTAGAGCAGGTTGCTCAAAGCCCCTGTGTCCAACCTGGCCTTGAACACTGCCAGGGATGGGGCAGCCACAGCTTCTCTGGGCACCCTGTGCCAGCGCCTCATCACCTTCACAGGGGAGAAATCCTTCCCTATCTCCAACCTAAACCTCCTCTGTTTCAGTCCGAAGCCGTCACCCCTTGTCCTATCCAGACCCTGATACCCAGTCTCCAGCACCCTTACAGACACCCCTGGGACACTGGAAGGCTGCAGACTGACAGCCGGGCAGCTGCCTGTTGCAAGGGGCCGAAGTTTCCTCCTTTTCCGAGGTTTCCATCACCAAGCTCCCCTCCGCCCCCATCTCCGGTCGCTGCGACTTAGTAGCACGGCGGGGCTGTCCTGGGGGCCCGGCAGCCGCCACAGCCCATTCCAGCCGGGGGGGCGGGCACAAGGCGAGCGGGGCCCAATGGGAGCGGGCGAATAGAGGGGAGGCGGGGATTGAGGGCGTGGGGGGCCAATGGGAGGCGGGCCAGCGGGCCGGTGTTCAAGAGGAGGTTGGGAGGGAGCGCGGGGGGGGTACTCGGGTGGCGGTGCCGAATCGGACCGAGCGGAGCCGAGTTCGCCGCAAGCATGGAGGACTCCGCAGCGGCCCCGGCTTTGCGGCGCTTCACCTGGGAGGAGATCGGGGAGCGGAACGGCCGCGGGCAGGCGCCGCAGGAGCGATGGCTGGTGATCGAGAGGAAGGTGTACGACATCAGCCGCTTCTGCCGGAGGCACCCGGGGGGCTCCCGGGTCATCAGCCATTACGCCGGGCAGGACGCCACGGTGAGGGCCGGCGGGGGGGGGGGAAGGCAGCGGTGCGGCGTGTCCGTGCTCTGGCTCTTGCAGGGCATCCCGGGGAGGGAGGAGGAAGAGGAAGGGGCAGAAGTGCCTCCGCCGGGCTGCCGGCTGCGAGGGACACGCGTGGCGGAGGGTCGGGATCGAAATCCGGTGGTGGAGCCGGGCCAGCCGCTGGTCTGTGGCCACCGGGGCATGGTCCGTAGTAGCCACCCGTAGCTCCGGTGTGCGGAGCTCCATACTGAGCCGTTTCTGACTGGTTTTACACGGTAGCGTTGTTGAAGAGAGTAACTAAACCGTGCACGAATACGGTGTCTGCAGCCTTCGGGGGGGGGAGCCTAATAGTTTTTGCATACTTACAGTAAATAACAGTACTGTGCTTTTATACACGTCCAGTCACAGGCCAGGGCGGAACAGAAACACCCGAGGTGTGACTTACGGTGTCACTCATGGTGACACTGTGGTGTGCAAGGATGGAGCTGTTGTTTGCAAGCGTACGAGCGTGTTCAGCCTCCCCTTAACTTAAAAAGCCCAGCGTAGTGTCTCCAAGGGGTGGCACTAGTGCGAAACGTGACTGAAAGTCGTATTGCAGCCTTTAAAACAAATCGTTCCTGTCTGAACACCAGTGAGTATTGTGAAGGGGAGGAAGCGGCGGTGCAATTGGCAGTGCTAATCTGTCAGTGTATTTCCTTCCTGTGTCTGCTTGTCTCTTTCACCAAAGAACATGCATTTCTCCTACTGGAACCAAAGGCAGGTATGGGATGTGAAGCTACCTCTGCAGTGGTTTTGATGGGCTATGGTTCAGTCCAGTGTTGTCCCTGACCAGAAAGGATGGAACTTGAGATGTAGTGCCTTCCTTTGCTGTGTATCATTTCAAGCCAAGGATAATAAGGGAATCTGAGCATACTTCATGAGGTCAGGATGGGCCACAGTGGCCACCACACGGGCCTGAATGAGCACAGTTAGATGGTGGGATTGCAGCCAGCTGCATTCTTTAGGCGTTATGTTCTGTGTCACTGCTGGGTGCAACTGAACTGCTGACCAGTGAGGAATCTGAGCCAAGTAAATTCCAAATTTTCCAATAGTTTTGTCTTGGAAATGAATAAAGTCAGGTTTATAAAAAAAAAACCCCAAACCAACCCACCTTCCCCAAAAAAAACCCTAAAGACAAAAAAAAAGAGGAAATTAAACACAGCCCAAAGCACACTTTTAGTTTGCTAAATGTCCCGGGGGTGTTCTGATTTCTGGAAGGTGCATCAGGTCCCTAACCTCCCTTTGGGAATGCGCTGCCAGGTTTTACAACCTGCATGGAAAGGATTGGTCTAAACGTGTGGTACCATCCTCCTCTGATCTGCCCACATACTCCTCCCCATTTTTTTTCACTCTTCCATTGAGAAAATGCAAATGTAGTTCCCCCTCTCCTCTTTCCCTCCTTTATTCACATAAGCCTGAGCAGAGAGGATGCTACATCTGAAATGCAACAGGGCTGACCCGGAGCTGGCAGCATCAGCCACTTTTTAACCTCTTTCTTGACCAGAAATCTTTTAAAAGGACAATTTACTCTAGGATCATGCAATAGTGACATAGTAATTGATAATGCTGAACAGTGCATGCGGCAGGAAGCTTGCAGACTGATGCACAGTGGGCAAATACTGCCTTAGGGAAGAAAAGCATCCATATAGGCTGAGAGAGATTGTAAAATGTACGCTAGTTTGGACACTGGGAGAGGAATATGCAAAAGGGAGGTTTCCATAGGAAGTAGATGCCAAACTGCCATGTGTGCTCAGGGGATTTGTAATCTAAATGTAGTGATAGAATCTACAGTGATAACAATCACTAATGAGTTTTTTCTTCACCTGGCTGCCTGGTTGAGGTTGACATCACATTTAAATGGTAAAAGTAACTGATTTCCCTAAGAGGGTCTTTTGAGTGGTAAGAATGAGAATGGCCTTGTGAAGGGAACCAGATGAGGAGCAGGAGGCAGGTAGCAAGAAAACAAATCTTTTCTAGGAAGGTGTAGCAGAGTGAGCATTGGACATTGCCAAGGAAGTGTGTTTGGAACAACATGGAGCTTTTGAGAGATTGATGTGGGTCACCATCACCTGTATGTGTCCTGCTTGCCCTGTTATTTTTCCCCGTTCAGCTACCTGACCCAGTTCTTGTGGCAAAATCTTGGAGCAGATTCTCCTGGAAGGCACGCTAAGGCACATGAAAAACAACAAGGTGCTTGGTGATAGCCAGCATGGGGGGAAATCCTGCCTGACCAATCTGGTGGCCTTTTATGATGGGGCTGCAGAACTGATGGACAGCGGTAGAGCAGTTGATGTCATCTGCCTGGACTTGTGTAAAGTGTTTGACACCGTCCCACACGACATCCTTGTCTCTAAATTGGAGAGACATCAATTTGATGGATGGACCACTCGATGGATAAAGAACCGGCTGGATGGCCGCACACAAAGTGTTGTGGTCAATGGCTCAATGTCTGGCTGGAGACCTGTAACGAGTGGTGTCCCTCAGGGATCAGTGTTGGGACCGGTCTTGTTCAACATCTTCGTCGCTGACATAGACAGTGGGATTGAGTGCGGCCTCAGCAAGTTTGCCGATGACACCAAGCTGTGTGGTTCGGTTGATACGCTGGAGGGAAGGAATGCCATCCAGAGGGACCTTGACACGCTTGGGAAGTGGGCTGATGCCAACCTCATGAAGTTTAACCATGCCAAGTGCAAGGTCCTACACCTGGGTCGGAGCAATCCCAGGCACAGCTACAGGCTGGGCAGAGAAGAGATTCAGAGCAGCCCAAGGAGAAGGACTTGGGGGTGCTGGTCGATGAGAAAATGAACATGAGCCGGCTTCAGTGTGCGCTTGCAGCCCAGAAACCAACCGTATCCTGGGCTGCATCAAAAGGAGTGTGACAACAGGTCGAAGGAGGTGATCCTGCCCCTCTACTCTGCTCTCGTGAGATCTCAGTTGGAGCATTGTGTGCAGTTCTGGTGTCCTCAACATAAAAAGGACATGGAACTGTTGGAACAAGTCCAGAGGAGGCCACGAGGATGATCAGAGGCTGGGGCACCTCATATATGAAAATAGGCTGAGAAAGTTGGAGTTCTGAGTTCAGCCTGGAGAAGAGAAGGCTGCGTGGAGACCTCATAGCAGCCTTCCAGTATCTGAAGGGGGCCTATAGGGATGCAGGGGAGGGACTCTTCATTAGGGACTGTAGTGACAGGACAAGGGGTAATGGGTTAAAACTGAAACAGGAGAAGTTTAGATTGGATATAAGGAGGAAATTCTTTCCTGTTAGGGTGGTGAGGCACCGGAATGGGTTGCCCAAGGAAGTTGTGAATGCTCCATCCCTGGCAGTGTTCAAGGGCAGATTGGATGAGGCCTTGGGTGGTATGGTTTAGAGTGAGGTGTCCCTGCCTATGGCAGGGGGGTTGGAACTTGATGATCTTGAGGTCCTTTCCAACCCTAACTATTCTCTGATTCTATGGTTCTGTGATTCTGTGATTCTATGATTCTATGAACAACTCACCCCTTCTTCCTAGTCACACTTCTGTTTCAGGATACAGGGCTTGAGGGAAACTAAGAAACTAAAGACAAAACAGAGGTAGAGGAATGTGTTATTGAGATGATCCATGCTGAAGTTCAACAGGATATGAGATTTCCAGATTCAGAAGCAATAGGGGTGTGATCCCATGTTTCTTGGTGACCTGTACTTAACAGCACCCAGTTAGAAAATGGTAACAGAGAATTCAGTTTTGTGCAATCATTTATGGTGTGAAGAAACAGTAAGGTTTGTGACAGTAAAACGTGGTTCAGCAAGCTCCATTAGTTAGGTTGCTTTCTGCTGAGTTCAGGGTATCTTTGGTGCCACTGGAACGATTGTTTTTCTTCACCCTTTTCCTCTATCTGTATTTCAGGATCCTTTCACAGCGTTTCATCTTGACAAGGCACTAGTACGAAAGTATATGCACCCACTCTTGATTGGGGAACTGGCACCAGATCAACCCAGCTTTGAGCCCAGCAAGAATGTAAGTAACTTAAAAACTTAGTATTTGGGTTGAAATAGTGCTATTTAACTTCTCCTTCTGGCAGCCAGAATTCCGTGTACGTAAACCAATAGTATTTCCTGGATTCATGTGTTGGTATGAAGCTTCCTCTTTATGTTACTATTTGTAGTGTTAGTGAAGATTTGTCTTCAGGCGACCCTCAGCTTTTCCCTATTGCCACAATAGCTCCTTGAAGAGGGCAAACTGAGCTCCTCTTTGCGTTCCTGAGGCATTTTCAGGCCACCAGATACTCTTGGGTCTCCCCACAGAAACAGCTGGTAGAAGATTTCCGTGAACTCCGTGCGACTGTTGAGAAGATGGGGCTTCTCAAACCCAACCACATGTTTTTCATCCTGTATCTCTGCCACATCTTGGCATTGGATGTTGCAGCCTGGCTCACCATCTGGTATTTTGGAGCATCTACAGTGCCTTTCCTCTTCTCTGCAGTGCTTCTAGGCACTGTCCAGGTAAGCAGCTAGGCAAAAAGAAGCCCTAGAAGGAGCAAAAGCCAACCGTTTGGGACTTCAGTGCGCATTGCCATAAGCACAGGAGAAATCTTTGTGGACTTCCCAAAATCCTGCTTCTCCCTGAAGGGGCAAAATTACAGTGCCACAAGATGCTTCTTCGTTAGAGCAGGCTTTACCCTGCTTTTTCCTTCCTGTAGTCCTTCAAAGCCCTCCTTATTCCCAGCCTTCTTCATACAATGAAAGCCACGCTACGCTTCTGAGGTCCCTTGTGCCCAGAACTCCAAGGCACTGTGTCAGGGCCAAGCCACAGTGTTCCCATGGGAACTTAGTGTGAGTTAGAGGAGAAGGCAGAGCAGCTCTCAAAGCCCCAGCTATTTTTCCAGTGGCCAGCTGATCCCCTTGGAATTACAAGTACTGGGAGGAGACAGCAGCAAACTGTCTTAAAGGAGACTTTGTTGCTGATTTCAGTGCAGTTTTGTAAGAGAATAAATGCTGTTTCTCAGCTCCATGTCTTCTATTTTGTTGTTTTTCCATGATATTTTCCCTTCCTCATGAAAACCACTATCTGGGACTAAAAGTCATCAGGCAAAGTTTGGACTGCACTGATACATAATAAAAGAGAAGTGTTTGGATTGGGTCCTAGAAGTGGAAATGCTCTTGCTATCCAGGGGTATGTTGCAAGGAGCGTGGGAGCAGGAGAAGAGAAAGCCCTTTTCAGATGCAGAGCCTTCTTTTCCCTCAGCAGCACCGTTTGTTTTGTTGTTGTTTTTGAATTCCAGGCCCAGGCTGGCTGGCTGCAGCATGATTTTGGACACCTTTCAGTCTTTAGCAAGTCCAGATGGAATCACTGGGTGCACAAGTTTGTGATCGGCCATCTGAAGGTGGGCATTCAGTGCTCAGAGGGGCTGTTAGAGCCTGGCCTGGGATGCTCTGCGGTCAAAACTAGTCTCAGTATAAGAAGAAAGCAAATGCAAATGGGGAGGGAGGAATAAGGACAGAAGATACAACTTTACAGCACTCTCTTCTCACCCCTTCCTACAGGGAGCACCAGCCAGCTGGTGGAACCATCTCCACTTCCAACACCACGCTAAACCCAACTGCTTCCGAAAGGACCCTGATGTTAACATGCACCCCTTATTTTTTGCTTTGGGAAAAACACTCTCTGTAGAGGTGAGACCTGGTGAAAGCTGGGGGGTTACAGGGTTACGATTCCAATTTGGAAAGCTGCAGAGAGCTTGGAGACTAGTGACTAGTTGGTTTGGTCTCTGTGACTGAGGTGCAGCTTGGCATTAATGGCCTTTGAAAACCAAGACATTAAAAGACCCTGGTGCATCTCTAGCTTCCGTAACATACTTAATGTTGCAACTTGGGTTGGTTTTTTTTTGTCCTTTTCCCTAATACAACCTTGCTATGGGTTGAAATCTTCCAAATTTATTCTGAAGGTTAAAAGAAATCATCAGAACTGCTTTTGTAAAATGAGAAGTACCATCCAGAAAATGGTTGGAGTTGCCCTCCTCTTTCATGGGATATTACTTTGCCTCCCACTAGTCCCTAATATCCCTTAATACTTCTTTAATACCTCTGAGATTTTTATACTCATAGAAATAGAAGTTATTTTGCTATGTTTTAAAATAAGAATGAAGTATTTGTCACAATTACAAGTTCATACTTCTCTGATGAGAGACTTGCAGCTGTATGAAGATAAGATTGCAGATAGTTCTCTTTATCAGGGCCAGCTTGACTAATTGTAGTGTTTGGGAAATGAAGCAGTGGATGACAAGCAAGGACTAGTCTCAGTCTGACAGTGGGTGTCAGACTGGATCCCATACGGAGTCCAACTCTGTTTCTGGTACAGCTCTGAAGTTAACTGAATGGCTTCAGTGTTTGCCAGTCCTTAAAAGAACTGGTTACATGAATTCATTGTGACACCTGCCTTAAATGCTCTGATTTGCACTGAAATTGAGGGTGGGCTGCTGTTTGGAGTTGTTTTGGACATGTACAGGGATGCAGTGGAATTCCTCAAGGAAGTCAGTGACATGATCTGTTATGTTTCTCCAGTGAGCACTGAAAAGTTAGCAGTCTCAGAGGGAGGATAATGTATCCACCCCTGTTCCTGTGGATACAGTTTAATGTCTAGATGCTCATTTCTATGCCTTAGAGATTAATTGCAAGTAAGTGTGAGTTCTGCACATGGTCATGTTTCATCTTCATTAATAATAGCATAGATTTTTCTTCTTTTATGAAGCTTTATATTGGCAGCAAACTGGTCCCAGGGCCTCGTAGTTTTCGATTTCAGCGTTGTTAGACAAGTGTGCCCTCTGTAGGGAAAGAGCTTCCAGTGCATGTTTCTGTCTGTGGTGCAAGGGGCTACCCAGCCTCTTGTGCATCTGAGGCAGGGACGGAAAATCATCACAGACTGAAGTTCCAGGGGATGATGAAGGCAGTGGCATGGTTTGATAGGACATCTCCTTTAAAGCTTAGGAAGTGTTTAAATATGCATTGCTTCAAAAGCATAGGTAGAAGTGTATGCACAAAAATCTTTAGCTGTCTTCACAGCCCAATTTGCTTATTTCAACAGCTTGGTGTACAAAAGAAGAAATTCATGCCTTATAACCACCAGCACAAGTACTTCTTCATCAGTGAGTAACCCTACCCTTTCACAGTTCTGTGGACAGCATTCACGCTACCCCTTCCATTTCCAGTCCGTTTCACTGGGATAAAAGGGCACAGTTAATGTCTGCGATCCATTTCTCCACTCTAGTTGGTCCCCCAGCTCTGGTGCCTCTCTATTTCCAGTGGTACATATTCTACTTTGTGGTGCAGCGGAAACAGTGGGTGGTAAGTTAGCTCCATGTTGCAGATGGTGCCTTCTCCTTGTTTTATAGGTACATTTCAGTGGAAGAAATTGGCCATTCTTTTTCTTTGTTTTCCCAAACCAATACAGTAAAAACTTATGGGCACAGAAAAAAAAGGGAAAAGTAGCAGAAATCAGGGATAGGGTGGAGGAGGATTCAGTGCAAAATGATCTATTAAAAATCAAGTAGCTTTCAGGTAGCCTAAAACTGAATCCTCACAGTTCAGTGTGAAGTGGAATAGGGGATGTGTAGTAGACTTTCAGAGCTGTTAGGGGGATAGTTTGTTAGGGGGAAATGTAGGGCTTTGAGGAATAGTATGGGTTTTAGAGACTTTGGTAAAAAAACGCAAGAAAAAGATGTCTCCTCTCTGAGATGTGGGGGTTAGAGACAAGGCATCTTCCTGGGAGGTGGGATGGTCACGAGAAAAGGGCCATGAAGGTAATAAGAGATTCCAAGACATACGAAGAGGAACAAAAAAGGACGAGACCTCTTTATTCTTTTAATTGTTGCATTTTGGTTTTCTCACTCCTTGCATCCTCTTTAGATTCAGAGGAAAACATGATGCTTTAGAGCATGCCCTCTCTAGTGTTTGCCCCAACCAGGATAATTCCCAGGCACAGGGATGCCTGGGGAGGTCCGTGGTGGCTGCGTGTCAGATTGCTTTGTGGTGGGGTCAGGAGATGGGGGGAGAGAAATCTTATCAGGAGAAGATGTTATGGAAGGTTTTAAAGGGAACAAGTAAGCCTTCCTCTTAATGAAGTTTTATCTGTTCCCTATGCTACAGGACCTGGCCTGGATGCTGACTTTCTACATCCGATTCTTTCTCACCTACTTTCCCTTGCTGGGGGTGAAGGGTATCCTGGGGCTTCATCTGTTAGTCAGGTATCATTCAACTTCTAATTCCTTCATTTTCTTTATCTGGTTTATATTGATCCTTTGTGTCAGCTTTTATTCAGCCTCCTCCTTATCTCTGCTCATTGGCTCTATTCTGTCTCTTTATGCCTTTTAGCATAAAGAGGTTGTTGTCTGTCAAGCACGTGTCTTTAGAAGGTGTGTGCAGGTCTCATCTGCTGATCAGATGTTTGGGGTTCCTAGTGTTCATCTTGTCAAACACTGACTAGCTTGTATGTGTACAAGTATTTTGCACTGAGTTGGTACAGCATAGGTGTGAGATCAGTAGTGGTTTTGTGTGTGTTTGTATGCCCAGGTTTATAGAGAGCAACTGGTTTGTCTGGATTACACAAATGAATCACATCCCGATGCACATCGATTATGATAAGAATGTGGACTGGTTCTCTACCCAGGTAAGACCTTTCCAAAGCCCTGTGTTTTCAAATGTGAGAGTTTATAGTTCTGGGTATGTAATGCCCAAGATCACAGAAATGATGGGAACTGAGAGAGGAAAACATGAGCAGCTTGTCCTCACCATATGAAGTGAGTGAGTAGTGCAAAAAAGAAGGTGCAGAGGTAGGATGGAGGCTTCAAATGCTGAGCACAGAAGCCTCAAGGAAAAGAATTAGGGTTACTGTAATGCTCTTCAGATAGAGAGCTTTTCATGTATGAAGGATCCACACCTCTCTCTGTACAGTTTTATTATAGTTCTGAAGCCATTACATAGGGGTTTTTAAGTGAGAAGGGTGAAAGTCAGGGTTGTTATGGCTTATCTCACTGACGTGGTGAATGTTGTTCTCCCAGATTATGTCCTTAACAATAAATACATCCTGTTGACTGGAGATAGCTTTTGGAGTTGCTGTATTCAGCCAGAAGGCATGTGATAATGAGGAACTTGTGCCTGTTTACCATTTGTTGGCACGTATAAGAGGAGGGACATTCCCAAAACAAGACTTAAGTGTTAACTGTACTTTTTCCTTTCAGCTCCAGGCAACCTGCAATGTTCATCAGTCCCTATTCAACGACTGGTTTAGCGGACATCTGAACTTCCAAATCGAGCACCAGTGAGTTGAAGCACAGGTTGGGAATGTGAGGGGATTTCAAGGAGTGCTAGTTCCACTGGATCTGAAAAGCCTATACGGGTCCTGTGTCTCTTATCAGCTAATACAAGAACAAAAGATGATGTGGGTAAATACTGGGCTGTTTATGCGGGGATGGAATGGGAACTCCAAGTGATGGGTCAGAATATTTTTGGATCACCAGTTAGCACCAACACTACTTCAGATAGGGCACAGGAGTGAGAATTACCAGCCTCCCAGGTAGTGCAGGTACTGCAGTGACATGAGAGGGACACTGCAGAGCACTGATGGTTGTGGGCACAAGGGGAGGTTGAAGCAATCCCAGGCTGAGGCACAGAAGAGGAACAGGAATTCTGTGGGATGATGGTGAATGCCATTGGATCACCATATTCTTTTCCCACAGCCTTTTTCCAACAATGCCTCGACACAACTACTGGAAGGTGGCTCCTCTGGTGAAGTCCCTGTGTGCCAAACATGGTATTGAATACAAGTGCAAGCCATTGCTCACCGCCTTTGCAGACATAGTATAGTATGTATCAACCCACTGCATTCCCTAGGGAAGGGTTTTCCAGTATTCCAGAGTGAATAAGTGAGGGACATGGGAAGAGGAGGGGCAGCCAGCTTGGATCACAGAAGTTCTGTGAAGAGCTGTAGACAGTATGACTATGAAAGGGCTGGAAAACTCTTCAGCTGTGGTGCTGGTTCCAGTAGCAGCAGATGGAAGGTGTCAGTTGGAGTGACCTAATGGAGAGCTCCTTTTCTTCAGTTCTGAAGGGTCAGTAGGATGCCAGGTCTGGTGCCTTTGTCTCCAAGTATGCTCCAGGTTAAAGAGGTGTTTTCATAAAGATGAGTTTGAATATTCATTCATTCATTCATTCATTCATTCTTCTTTTATTCCTTTGTTCCCCTCCTTGCCTCCCAGATATTTCTTACTCCCTTATGGAAAGTCATCTGCCTCTCTTGTGCCATACTCTCTCCTTTTATTTTCATATTGTTTGCTTCAGCCTTCCAGTCTTTGATGTAGCCCTAGTGCTTTAGTTCTTCATCTTTCCAAGGAGCTGTAGTCTGCATTGCCTTGCTGTGAAGATCTCTGAGCACCCTGATCTGGTTGTCCCTGCTCATTGCAGGAGGGTTGGACTAAATAACCTTTAAAGGTCCCTTCCAACCCAACCCATTCTATGGTTCTGTAAACTCCTTTGCTTAATCTGTAGATGGGAATACTTCCCTCAAGGCTCTGTTCTCTGGATGCTGTATTTCATTACCTGTTTCTAAGGAAATGTGGTTCTCTCTTGGCAGCTCTTTGAAAGATTCAGGGGAGCTCTGGCTTGATGCCTATCTACATAAATAAGAAGCAGTGTATCCCTGCAGAGGAATTCCCCTGCCCTGTTGCTTCCTGTGGTGGTCACCATGAAGATACTGAACAGAGGAGAGAGAACTGGCTAAGCCAGATGTGGGGAGGTGGCGCTGCTTAATTCCATTGATGAATGTGATTAATATGATTTTTTAAAATATGTGGTTTTAATTCTTCTTGTGCTTCTTTCATTCCACTTCTCTGGTGCTGAATTAGGGGGGAAAAGCTGAATGGAGGAGGTTATGTTCCACCAAGCTGGAGGCAGTTTTGGGACTGGGAACAGATTCCTTTTGGTTTGCTGATACTTCATTTGCTGAGTGTATAGGAGGGGTGTTTCTTATCTAACATAGGCTTTTGTGAGGTGGTTCTCATTATGAATGTAGTGGGAAAGTTGAGACAGGATAAAATCAAAGAACATGGGAGTTGGTGAAGTGTGGAAGCCATAAGGAATTGGGTAGGTACAGTATTTTCAGATACCTGGATGTAATTTAATGATGACAATAGAAGCGCCGAAACCAAGGGGCAGTGGGGAGCATGTGAGAGGCCAAACCAATTTGTATGTGTATGGGTGAGGAGGAAAAGGTGCAGGCAGCAGTTCTTTAGGAATAAGCATGAGGAAAAAGAGCTAATTAGAGCCCAAATTGAGGTAGAGAAATGGAAAAGTGGAGGTTATTCCACAGGCATGTTGATGTGCGAGCTCAGCATGCCACATCCTGTGGGAATGTTGCCCTCTGCATCTCTTCTGTGGTGAAAGCCTCTGGGTTATTTGCCCATTTCTGACCTCTCATGGTGTCTTTGCAAATGGTTTCCACAGTGCCATACTTCTGACTGGTATTGAACCCTTTACTGGAAGTCAGAACATACAGAAATATGGCATGTCCCTACAAGGGTGACTGAGGAAGAGAAGGGGTAATCGGTGTGTGGTCATCTGAAGCTTCACTCTTTTGAACCTCTGAACTGATGAGTGATTTAAATGGAGAGAACTCGTGACTTCTGGCCCATGGAACATGACGTGTTCCTATGCACTGCAGGCAAATTTAATGAAGTTGTGGAAGTGTTGGGGCTTGGGGTACTGTTTAAATGTGTTTTTCAGTCACAGAAGTCAGTGGGCTGCATACCCATAGGCACACAATAAGCCAATACATGGCTGGTGTTTCTCTTTTGGATGATGTGCCATCAAAACCCTGGCAGTGTTCCAGACCCGGCTGGACGGAGCCTTGGGTGGCATGGTTTAGTGTGTAGTGTCCCTGCCTATGGCAGGGGGTTGGAACTGGATGATCTTAAGGTCCTTTCCAACCCTAACTATTCTATGATTCTGAAACACACCCCAAGAGGGAATGTGCTGTGTGATTTACTGGAATGTGAATTAGCTTTACTGCATTTCCTGGTGTCTTCTCCTTTACTACACCCACGTTAGAGATGCCAACCCAGGATATAGCACTAGTGAAAACAGTTCCATCACCCTGTTGCCTCAGTAATAGGTGGCTTAGACTCCAGAAGGGGTGGGTTGATTTTGACAAAGATATGGTACCTTTTTCTGATTGTCATGGTTTCAACATCTAAAAAGAGGATGGCTTGTGAGGGAATGGAAGAAATGCATTTTCCCAGGCCAACAGTGTTAAGCACAGAATAAAATTGTACCAGAAATAGTAAAATAATCATTAAATCATTGATAACTGTTGATAAAAACCATAATGAAAGTGGGCCTTAGTTACTGTTTTACCTTGGTTTTTTCCTGCTCTGTTTCTTTCCCACTTACTATTAGAACTGTTGATGGAGGAAACATCTAATAATAAAATTCATTATCTTACCAATTGTTGCTGTCATCAGAGTGCAATATGTCTGTGTAAGAGCCTGTGCTGTCTAAAACATGGAACAAATGCCTGTCTACACCTGCAGAGAGAGAACTGTTGTAAACCTCGTGTTTGGTGAAATAAAGAGCTGTTCTGTAAGGTCTTAAATGCAGCAGGCAGTCGGCACTCAGGTGAAGCTTCAGTGGACTGCCAAGCATTCCCTCTAACCTTGGAGTGTTGACCCTCAGCCACAAAGGGCAGCAAGACTTGTTATGCTAGTCAGGAGAGCTGTTTAAAATCTCAGCTCCATAGGGAGCTCTGGTCCCAAAGGCTAGGCTCTTACAGGTGTATGGAGAAAGCTGCGCAGGTGGGGAGCTGTCTAAGGTAGGCAAGAGAAAACACTGAAGACAAGACGGTCTTCAAAAACCCTCTAGAGAGATTTCATCTCCTAACCCATGTTTCCCAACTCTGGATAAAACCATGCAGGCTGTCCTGGTAGCAAAAATGCTTCCATCTTGTGTTGTGGCCAGAATTGCTGGTTTTGAGATAAAGTTTAGTCCTTTCATTCTGGGGCTTGGTGAACCTTTAATTTGGACATGCAAATGGAATGGTTTCACCAGGCAGGGAAGGCACTTTCTTTGTCAGAACAGGTTTTCCATCGTCTGATAAGAGGGGAACAGCCTAAACTGTTTGGTTGCTGGATGCGAGTGCTGTAGCCATGAGGTGACTATAAAAGTAGAGTGTTCCCAGCGTGTTTTGAACAGAGACAGCAAGACTTCAGCTCAGTTCATGAAGCTTTGAGCGTACTTACCAGATGGATTGTTTCAAATAAGGTAAGTAGAAAAAGCACTGCTTGTAGTTTAGGTGAGCCATGAGTTTTAGCAATGCTGAAGTGCTTGATGTTGCCCAGCAAGTGGCTTTGGTTTAAATGCCCAGAGTCAGAACATTCAGTATCTGGGTGTTTAATTTTGAAAAGTCAAGTAAATTTGAGGTACCTCCAGGGCTGGGATGATCTAAGAGTTAAGTTTGGAAGAGAATGATGTGTCTTAAGTTCCACTTTGGTGCCTAAGACTTCAGAGACTTGTTTTCTCTGCTGCAATGAAGAGAAAGCATCCACAATACAATAAACCAATTGCATGACTAACCAGGAAAAATAGCACATATGAGCCAATCCACGGTCCTAAAGGGTAAGACCAAGAGGGGACCTGAATCAATGTAAGCAGATCTGCATATGCTGAGGGTGCCAGAAGTTGTCCAGGTATATGACAGCTTGAGAAATAAGCTGTATGCCAACTTCTGCAGTGTCTGAGAGTGCTCTGGGCTGTTTGTAGTGGCAGATTATCCTGACACTTGTAATATTGAAGTTTTACAACAATCATAGAATAGTTAGGGTTGGAAAGGACCTTAAGATCATCCAGTTCCAACCCCCTGCCATGGGCAGGGACACCTCACACTAAACCATGGCACCCAAACTCTGTCCAACCTGGCCTTGAATACCACCAGGGATGGAGCATTCACAACTTCCTTGGGCAACCCATTCCAGTGCCTCCCACCTTCTCAGTAAAGAACTTCCTCCTTTATAATATGAATATAATACAGTGTTCAAATAATGAATATATATGTAATAATATAATACAATATTCAAACAATGAATATATACTATAGAATATATATAATAATGATTATAATACAATATTCAAGTGCAAATCCCAAACTTGGAGCTCTGGACATACACCGAGATGCATCTTTCTGGAGCAACACCAGCCCCAAGTCTGGCATTTGATGGAAGCCAGCTGGCTTCACAGTTCAGCCTTAAAAAACATGGGACCTGAACGTAGAAATAGCCACAAGGTGGCAGTCAGGAGTTGGAAGGGAAGGAAGTCATCCAGCTTTCCTGGGAACCTGAAGTGTGAGTGTTTAAGGCTTCAGCCTTGCTATTAATCCTATTTTTCTATTCACTTAAAGAAAGTAAAGACGAAATGAATATATAGCTTAAAGTGACTTTTGGCTGGTATGAGAATGGAGCTCCTACAACTCACTAACCAAAGTTATATCCCCATCTCACCCTCCGCAATAAGTAAGACTATATTAAAAGGACCTGTGCATGTAAGCAGGAATAACTTGTTAGGCCTTTCGTTTTTGGGTCGTTATTTTAGTTCAGCCTAAGCACTAGGAAATGAAAGCATGGTAAGAGAGGCTGAGACAGCTGGGGCTGCTCAGCCTGGAGAAGAGAAGCTGCATGGAAACCTCATAGCAGCTTCCAGCGTCTGAAGGGGGCTACAGGGATGCTGGAGAGGGACTCTTCATCAGGGACTGCAGTGATAGGACAAGGGGTGATGGGTTCAGACTGAAACAGGGGAAGTTCAGATTGGATATAAGGAAGTTCTTTACTGTGAGAGTGGTGAGGCACTGGCAGAGGCTGCCCAAAGAAATGATAAATGCTGTATCCCTGGTGATGTTCAAGGCCAGGTTGGACAAAGCCTTGGGTGACATGGTTCAGCGTGAGGCACCTCTGCCCATGGCAAGGGGTTGGACTGGATGTTCTTAAAGTCCTTTCGAGCCCAAAACATTCTGTGGTTCTATATCAAGTACAGATTTAATAAACATGAAAATTCCTTCTCTCTGAAGATGTCTGTGGTCGATCAGATCATGAGGTAGGTCAGACTCATTCATCTGCTGTTGGGCACTGTTCAAAGCCAAGTGTCCACTAGAGTGGTAGTTCTGAGGTTTTGTGTGTTGTGCTCACATATCCTGTACTTACACACCACAGGTGTGGCAGGTTAGGCAACGAAGTGTTTGAATTACATGGTGTAATGAGAGATGTAATGAACAGGATGTTAAAAAACCAAAAGCAATTGGCACTGTAGCAAAGCTTATTTAGGAATGGAGACAGAACATTTACACTCAAGCTGAAGCCTGTTAGCCTTCAGCCTCTCCATGATTTAGATGCTGGGAGAAGATATCATTCCCAAAGATGATCAAAGGACAACAAATTCATCAGGCATTTGCATGGGGTCTTAAAAACGCAGTCTGAGGTTCATAAAGCTTTGAAGATTATTCAGTAAAGAGGAGCATCATTGCCCACAGAGGTGGCTCCAGCCCAGAATAAATGACTTTTTTCAACTCAGGGAGGAACATTTTCAACACTGGAATAGTTGGAATTATAAAAACATTTGGGTGATGTTAAAAGTGAAGGGTGATGGGCAACTGTAAGAGTAAAATGCTGGATTTTTCCCCTTCCTAACACCTGCTCATGTGCTGTTAATGATCTTGCAATCCTTGCCCAATCCACGTGTGTTTTCTTCCATTATCCTGAGTTTCCAAAGAGACGAACTGTGTGGTTTACAGAATTTCCTCCTTAATTTGGGAAATTAAGGTGAATGTAGATCCATATGGTATAGATAACGGATGCAGCTGAGAAACAGGATGAATTTGTTGCTTCCCAAGATAGGTTCTTTTATAATGAATGTAAAGAGATTTCTTAACAGGTCAGATATAGAAGACTGATGTATTAATGCAACACTACTGATGGGTGGCGAAAGAAGGAGGATTGCATTACACTGGGAGAGAGTTCATTGGCATGAATGTGGTTTCTATGTAATTTACATCTGTCCCTGCCCATGGCAGGGGGTTGGAACTGGATAATCCTGAGGTCCTTTCCAGCCCAAACCATACTATGGTTCTACGCTCCAGAGACTCACATTAAGTGTTCAGAAAATGGGCAGGAATTTCTATGGGGGAAGTTCTGAAACAGCAATAACAAAGAATGCAGCCATGACTGCTTATAAGAAAGGCTGATAATGGTGGTGTCCTTTAAGCAAAATAGTTTGCTTCTGTGAGAAGTAGCACTTGTAGAGTTGAAGGATCAAATGATACAATGCATTTTTCAGGAAAATCAGCTTATAAATATACCACAATAAATAAAATATCTAATGGTGCAAATTTAATATTTTAAATGCTTGTCTAAGGACAAAAGGTTGTTTTCACTAATACGTGTTTCTTGGTGTGTAAGAAACTCCTACAGCCACTGAAGGTGGCCTCTGAACAGCCCAAATATGTCCTGTATTAATGCCAAAGGCAGTAACTTTCTGGGCAGACAACAGGGCCTCAGGACCTTTGAATCACAGGATCATTGAGGTTAAAAGGGATATCATATATTTGTATGTCAGATATCGGGGTCATATGTTCTGACCTATAAGTACTAAGGTTAAAAAGGGGAATGTTTTACTCAGGTGTGGTGTTTGCAATACAAAATTACTATTGAAGATACAGGGCAGAGATACAGGAAAAGCTAAAGGTTTAGGAAAGTTCTTTATTGTAAAAGAATAAAACTGCCGGAGCTCCTTGACACCAATGAAAGAAGAGGCAAAGGGTGATGGGTTCAGACTTAAACACGGGAAGTTCAGGTTAGATATAAGGAAGAAGTTCTTTACTCTAAGGGTGGTGAGTCCCTGGCACAGCTTACCCAAAGAAGTGGTAAATGCTCCATCCCTGGCAGTGTTTGAGGCCAGCTTGTATGGAGACTTGGGTGACACGGTTTAGTGTGAGGTGTTCCTGCCCATGGCACAGGGTTGGAACTGGATGATATTAAAGTCCTTTCCAACCCTAACAATTCTAGGATTCCACACAGAAGGTACAAATTCATAGTACCAAGGTTCAATAATATTCTATATAGCAGGAGCAGTGATAGATTGTCCACAAAGGGAAATAGCAAAATTCAAGGATAACCTAATTTTCCATTAGACACTCCCTTGCAAACTGTAGCTGTTGTTTGCTTTGACTCAGGAAGAGATCAGGACAGTCTTGTGGGCAGTATTATCATAATTAGGTCACCTCCTCTTAACAGACCTTTGGGATGAACGTGAGTGCTTCTAAAGCAATCATTTTGATACACAGCCAGATAGAATGATAACTTCTGCTGGCAAAAGAAGATGCAAACGTCCTAACAAATGAGTCTGAATTCCTTTTCGGGATAATCTCACAATCAGTTATTAAAAAAAAACAAGATGAAGTAATAAATG